AAAGAAAGAAAGAAAGAAAGAAAGAGAAAGAAAGAAAAAAGAAAGAAGGGTAGAGTGTTTCAGGGTAAAATATAAATGCGTTTGTCTGACCAAAAAAATTTGGAAAGACAGTCTCATTGATATTTTATGGTTAGGATGATTGAGGTGAAGCAACAATCTTTTGGAACAGGTAACTATTTCTCAACTTCATTCATGCTTTCCAATCCGTGCCTTGTAAAGAACAATTACACAATAGCAAAAATCTGGATATGAAGCCAGATCCCTGTCGAGTCGTGGAGGCAAAAACTGAGCCAAATTGGCAAGCTAGCAGGGAGGAACTATTTGGGGTGTTTTTTGCTCAGTAATGTTGGCCTATTCTGAATTCAGACAAGGGGATAATCATGGATGGGAACCTGGAAATAGCCTCAAATCGCTTACCTGAGGAGACCCATATGAAATGATGGTTAATATTCCCAAAGGGCAGAATTCTGCAAGGTGGCAGGGTATTCTGTGATTTCAAAACACATTTCCCTTCCAAAATAACGTTCTGATTATGCAGCATTCTGGCTTGCTAACTGACCTCAATTAAAAAGCCAAGAATGACCAAGAATCTTCTCTCCGTTGGAAGTTTTCTCTGGCTATACCAATCCCTTAAACAAGAATGATAGCAGGATCAGTCACGAAACTTGTTTAAAGCAGAAGGACAATATAACAAATCGTTTGTTCATCAAAAACGGGGCTACCTTAGGCATAAGGTAGAAAGTCAAACCTGAAATGACAATTCAGATCCTTGTGGAACAGGTTTGCATGGCTGCCCTGCAGGTTTCGGGCTGGCTAGGGAAGCAAGCGACTTGGAGCCTGTTACGAAGGGATCCTAACCTTCCAAGTTACAAACTTTTGTTGCATTTCCATGTTAATGGATTTAATGGTAATAATCGTGCAGAGAACTTTTCTGGGCCATGCACAGTGCAGAAGTGAAGAGTTAACTTTTCTACCATTGTTAAGAGTCTAGGGAGAAATTAAAAAAAAAAAAAAACCCGCTCAGAATAGTCTTCCTGAACTACTGGCCCAGTTTCAGGTCTTTGATTGATGTTGGAAAACTGATAAACTCGGCTTTCTTTAGGGAAGGTTCATCCGGAGACCGATTAGCAGAAGATGTGCTGCTAGAAACAATGATAAAGTACATTTTGTAGCATGCTGGCCCAAATTAGCCCTCCCCCCCCCCCTTTTTTTTCCCCGTAAAGTCATCTTTAAAAAAAAAAAAAAAGTAATGGGACCTTTAGTTGGCAACCTTCCTCTTTAAAGGTATTTGGGCTGAGGGGAAAAACAACGTTCAAATATTGCAGTGTGCCTCTCTCTATAACCTCCTCCAGAACTTGAGAACACTCCAGGTCAAAGGGTCCTGGATATGTGCATTTTGCTAATGAGTTTGTTTAGATTTTAAATCAGGAAGATTAACATTGCTGCCGTCATCCATCACCTAACAATAGCATCCACTGTGCAGTTGAGGGATTAAAATGTTGGTTTTTATGCCAGGAATTTGCCCTAAAGAGTTTGAAGAATCTTTGCCAGTCAGGGTAGAATTGTAGAAAACTTTGCACCCATTTTACAGGGGACACTGAGACCCTACAGCAGCAGGTCAAAAGCAGGCGAAGCATAATAGTGAGTAAAGCAAGCCACCTATCTCCAAAAGTATCTTCCTCCTTTTTTATTCATTGGCCATCTTCATGTATTTTGATTTCTAAAAGTGAAACTTGCTTGTTTTCTTGGTAAAACATGGACGTCGTTTGCCACTGCCACCTTGGCGGATGCCTTTGGTTTTTGCTTGTAATTTCCTCACCCAAGCATTTTAACGTTGTCCAAGGACTGGGAAATTTGGGGAGTTGATGGCTACAAGGTTGAGAAACACTATATTCTAATCAATCTGCTCCTGCTAATCCTTTTGCGAAATCAAACAGTCTATTCTATTTATAATTAGGCCAGGCTAATTTGGCCTAAAGTCAGCCTGCGATACTTCCAACACATGATCATCTGCTGAATATTATCAACCCAGTGTGGAGAAACAGGAGAGGTTAAGGCTGTAGCCAGGCTGGATCCATACCTATTTGGCCAGGGGTGGGCTGCCGGGGGCTCCCTAGCATTCAACCAAGAGCATTTCACACCTCGTAAAAGTGTTGCAAGCTAGATAAACAATCCATTCAGCGCTTGCGAGGGACAGCCATTGAGAAAATCCGATAACATAGCCACTAGCCTCCAAGGGGATTAATTCCCAAATAATAAGAATCACGTAACTCACCAGAAACTTCATTAAGACTCCAAGATCCCTCTCACAATCACTGCTATTAAGCCTGGTTTCCCCCAGTCTTTTATTTAAGTATTAAATGCACGAAATAATAAACAACTTTTTGATTATATATATCTATATATCTATATATCTATATCTATCTATCTATATCTATCTATCTATCTATCTATATATATATATATATATTTATTAGGTAATTAGGGCAAAGAAGCGATGTTGAGTTGGCCACACCCACCCAGTCACATGACCACCTAGCCACACACCCACCCAGCCAATCATTAGGGCAGAGAATCCCTTGCTAAAAAATTTGAAGCCCATACTTGAAATCAAGTATCAAACTTGATTTCATTGAGGGCCGCATCAGGACTGTGTTTGACATCGGGGGAGCCGGGTGGGTGTGGCCAGCTCAACGTCACTCATATCAGGGGCACCTGTGGTGGCCCCCAGTGCTCTGCCAGCGAAAGCAAGCTCCTGAGCTCCGTTTTCGGCTGCAACAGCCTCTTGCAACCCTCTGCCAGCGAAAATGGAGCTCCGGAAGGCAGCCCTCCCGAGCTCCGTTTTCTCTGGCAGAGGCACTTTCAGCCGGTCCTTCGCTGTTTCCAGGGTGGGCCAGATCTAAGCACCCCACTGACTGGATCTGCCCACCCACCCACCCCATTTGGGGTTTGACACCCCTGATCTAGATGTTAGGGCTTACGAAGTCTGGCTTAGAAACGGAATGATTTCCGAATAATTTTATCCAGGAGAGTTTGCAAAATTGAAGCATGCACCCGACCCCGTTTGTAGGTGGTTGTGGAACTCCACAAAACTAGCAAGCCGGTAATACCCACCCACCCACCCACCCCGCGTGCCAAAGAGGGAGGAACCCAGGGGAAGAAAAGGAGCAGAGAGGGACTGACATGGCTGGGCGTTGTGCCTGCCAGATCTTCTGGAGTGTCTCCAAAGCCTCATTCTGTGGAACCAATCGGAGGTGCTGAATTTACGCACGAGGAACAACTTTGCACGCCGAGCCACTTCCAGATATAACAGGGAGTTTTCTTTCGACTGGCTTAAGACTAAACCCCCACTGGCAACCCTTGATCATCGAAGAGAACATAATTGTTCTTGTGTGTCTGACCCGTTGTTGACAGGTCTTTTCCCTGGTGCACACACCCGCCCGCTAGCACTGTGATGTTTTGTGCTTCTAAACAGATGTGCTGGTGCTGGAGACGAGGCCATCACACACAGTGGGGGCTTGGCACAGAGAGGGCACAGCTTGACAGCTAATGGCGGTGCCATGCATATTATCCACCACAGGAAGCCACTTTCTTTTGAGATGCTGTCTTGAGCTGAAAAGGGGGTTCAGGAAGAGGAGAAAAACAGTTGTGGGCTTGGAAGTCTGGCGGCTCACTGTGCAAGATCAGGGTGCTTCATGTTTTTTAAACCATTATATTGCATTAGCAAATGTCTGGGAATCCTCGGCCCTCCAGCTTCGTGGTTGTCCCAAAGGTGCTTTTTCAAGAGGCAGGTGGACTTTTTCTTGTTTTTCTTCTCATCCAAGAAGCTTCTTCAGCTCCCCACCATCCAGGAATATTGCATTGGTAGTTCCTTGATTGAGGTTTTGTTTACTCCTTGGTTGTTGGTCTAGTGTTAATCTTTCATATTAACCTTTGCTCATATATGTGTGGATTGTTGGTGCGGAGGTGTTTTGGTACCAACAGAGATGAACAAACTAACAAGGACAAGAACACTCCCACCAACACTGACTAGGCAAACCAACAGTGTATAAAAAAATAAGACCAAAACCCCATACACTTCTAGCACTGATGATGTTGCCTAGTTGGGTAATGAAACATCTGCAAGAAAACAACCAAGTTCAGAGTACATCAAGGTCCCCACAAAACCTAAAAGTGTTTTGTGTTGGCCTTAAGAGTGCCGGGCGTACTTCAGGATATTACTTCAGAGCCTCTGCGGCGCAGTGGTTAGAGTGCTGTACTGCAGGCCCCTTCTGCTGACTATCGGCTGTTCAAATCCCACCAGGCTCAAGGTTGACTCAGCCTTCCATCCTTCCGAGGTCGGTAAAATGAGGACCCAGATTGTTGGGGTCAACAGGTTGACTCTGTAAACCGCTTAGAGAGGGCTATAAAGCATTGTGAAGCAGTATATAAATGCTATTGCTATATTACTCTGGTACTTACAGAGTTGGTTATGATGTTGACTGGACTTTTGCAGCCAAAATCTTGGCTGGCTATCCTACACAACATCCGTTTCCCTGTCTGAAACTCTGCCTAATCCCTGGCTAACATAACAGGAAGTTCAACTGAATATTGGGAGAGAGCCAGGTTGGAGAAGGTTGATAGGAAACGTGTGCTTCTTTTTAGCAAGGAAACATTCTGGACTGGGCTGAACTAGAAGGCCAACATCATCTCTGTGACTGACGGGGAATTCTAGGAGTTGATGTCCTCACATCTTAAAGTTGGCAAGGCTGTTCTCTAGATGTATGTTAATAATGCTGATCTTACCTGTTTGAGTGTGACAAGTGCACATCTCCAGGGGACATTGTTGTGCATCATCTTAAGTGTTTGGAGGCATACTTATCCCTCAGCATAGCAGTAAAACAGCTGTAGATAATTTCTCCTGCATCCACAGATGAGTTGCTTGTGTGAATTACATTCAGTTCCTGGAACTTTGCCAAATGAGTACATTTCCCTCCCACCCTTTCTGTCCTTCCAGATAAAAACCCAAAGCTAAGACCTTGGTCTTGTTATTAGTTAGTCAAGCTACTCAACATCGGTCTGCCAGAGTGATGGCGCTCCCTTTCCGGAAAGACTTGGACAAATACAGGGAACTTGACGAAGATGAAATTTTGGGCAAGTTGACTGAAGAAGAACTGAAGCAATTGGAAACTGTCCTGGATGACCTTGATCCAGAGGTATGTACATGTGGTCCCAATGTTTTCTTAGCATTTCCACAGCACCTGAAGGCAGGACAAGAAGTGATGGATGGAAGCTATTCAAGGAGAGAAGCAACCTAGAACTAAGGAGAACTACTCTACTCTACTCTACTCTACTCTACTCTACTCTACTCTACTCTACTCTACTCCCAGCATTCCTCCCCCAGTCATGTTAGCTCAGGAATTCTGGGAGTTGAAGTCCACAAACTTGCCAAGTTTGAAGGCCCTTGCCTTAGAGCAGGGTTTCCAACCTTGGCAGATTGAAGATGTGTGGACTTCCAACTCCTAGAATTCCCCATGCTGTCTGGGAAATTCCAAGAGTTGAAGTCCCTGCGTCTTAAAGTTGCCAAAGTTGAGAAAACGTGCCTTATAGCCGCCTCAGCTCTTTCCCAGGCGAAAGCTGCCGATCTGGGGAGATTCCTGTATTATAGGCAGAGAACAATAAAGTAGTTAGTTTGAACTCTACCTATATGGGTCTGGTTGTTTGCGCCTGGCAGTTCCGTAAAGCACATGGTACCTTGTGGTCTCCTGGCTATGGTTGAACTACAATGCCCATCCTTTCTCACCATTGCCCATGTTGTCCATTGGGAGCTTGTAGTTGAACAACATCTGAAAGGGCATTACATTACTGTCGACCTACCCGTGAAAATGGGTATGGCATGTTTCCTACGCCCCAAAGCCTCTGATTTTAATTCATTTCTCAGGATACATTTGGGACTTTATCTCAAGCAACATCAGAATAAGGAGAGGTGGGCATTTGGTTGACTTTCTGGGTGGGGTGTAAGAGGATGAGCTGTGGTGGTGCAGTGGTTAGAGTGCAGTACTGCAGGCTACTTCTGCTGACTGCCGGCTGCCTGCAGTTTGGCAGTTCGAATCTCACCAGGCTCCAGGTTGACTCAGCCTTCTATCCTTCCGAGGTGGGTAAAATGAGGACCCAGATTGTTGGGGCAAGAGGCCGACTCTGTAAACCGCTTAGAGAGGGCTGTAAAAGCACGGTGAAGCAGTATATGAGTCTAAGTGCTATTGCTAAGTGCAAAGGAAGGAAGGAAGGGAGAAAAGATGGATGGATGGAAGGAAGGAAGGAAGAGCCATGGTGGCACAGTGGTTAGAGTGCAGTACCGCAGCTACTTCTGCTAACTGCCGGCTGCCTGCAGTTTGGCAGTTCGAATTTCACCAGGCTCAAAGGTTGACTCAGCCTTCTGTCCTTCTGAGGTGGGTAAAAAGAGGACCCAAAATTGTTGGGGGCAAGAGGCTGACTCTGTAAACCGCTTAGAGAGGGCTATAAAGCATCGTGAAGTGGTATATAAATGCTATTGCTATATTACTCTGTGAAGCGGTGTATAAGTCTAAGTGCTCTTGCTATTCCCCTCTTCCTTTCGTTTCGCAGAATGCCTTGTTGCCAGCGGGATTCCGGCAAAAGGACCAGACTGTGAAAAAACCGGGTGGTCCTTTTGACCGAGAAAAGCTTCTTTCGTTTTTGGAGAAACAAGCCCTGGAGCAGAAGGACGTCGAGGAGGTTGTCCCTTACACGGGAGAAAAAAAAGGTAAAGCGTTTCCACGGAACAACTTAGCTCGTCCAAGCCCCACTTTTCCTTTCTCTCTCTGCCTCCGCTCGCCGGCTGGATTCGTTATACAGGCAGTCCTCTACTAAATGACCATAACTGGGACTGGAAGCTCTGCTGCTAAATGAGGCGGGTTGTTAGAATGAGTCATGCCTGATTTAACGAACTTTTTTTTTGTTTTTGCTGCGGTCATTAAGTGAGTCGGCATGGTTGTGAAGTGAATCACGGCCATTAAGTGAATCCAGGTTTCCCTGATTGACTTCGCTTGTCAAAAGCCAACTGGGAAAGTCACAAATGGCAATTACAACATCCCAGAACGTTGCAACTATTGTAAACAAATGCAGGTGGCCAAGCGCCCGTATTCTGAACACATGACTGCGGGGGGAATGCTGTGATGGTCATAAGTGCGAGAACTAGTCACTTTTTTTTCAGTAGCCTTGTAACTTTGAACAGCCACTAAACAAACGACTGTAAGCCAAGGCCTGCCTGTATCAGGCTGAATATTGCGTATTTATTAAGTCATCACATTAGCTGGACATGATCCAGGGCTGGGATTCAATTTTTTTAACAACCAGTTCTGTGGGCGTAGCTTAATTGGTGGGCGTGGCTTGATGGTCATGTGACTGGTTGGGTGTGGTTTGGTGATCATGTTATTGGCTGGGCGTGGCCAACTCAATATCACTCACATCGAGGCACGCATCTCCTCACCTGGCCTCTCATGACTGGGGATGCTGCAAAGTTATAACGGTCATAAGTCACTTTTTTCAGTGCCATTGTAACTTTGAATGGTCACTCCACACAAGCAAAGTACCAGCAAAGGAGGGGAAAAAAACTCCATAGCCATTCCTGAGACAGGAAGTCTAGTCCTGCCAAGAATGTAATAAGGGTTAAAGGAGAGGCAGTTTCTGAAAGCAACACCAGAATGTTTCCTTCCTGCCTTCTTTACAGGATTAGCCCAGTAATTTCTTCTAACAACCAGTTCTCCAAACTGCTTAGAATGTTAACAACCGGTTCTAGCGAATAGGTGCGAACTGGTAGAATCCCACCCCTGGTTCTGAGCAAGGGATGTGGTAGCAGAAAGCCTGCACTACAAGCTTCCTTGGAGTTTGAAAAAGGAAGCAGGCCAAGACCCCATCTTTCCAAAAGATCAAACCTTATTTTTTAAAAAAAAATAAAAATCCACTATTGCTTCACAGTGGCTTTAGCATCTTCTCCTCGTGTTCCAATTTGGCTGAAAGGAACAATGAGCCACTGTAGCCTGCGAAGGGAGCTGATGCAACAGAGTTTCCTTTCACAACATGGCATTTATGATGTAAATTTTCATTGAACTGACAAGGGCAGCTTTGTGGCTAAGAGGTCGCGGAGTTCTCAGATGGGTAGTATGGTGAAAAAACTGGCCTGAGAACCCAGTCAGACAACCCTGGTCCGTGTTGGGAATACTAGCTTGGATGGAAAATGTCTGATGAGACACAGAATTCAGCTTCCCACCTTCCTCTAATAGTGCAACTGTTAGAGAGAACTTAAATTAAAGGTAAAAGTTCCCTTTGCACATACGTGCTAGTCGTTTCTGGCTCTAGGGGGCGGTGCTCATCTCCGTTACAAAGTCAAAGAGCCAGCACTGTCTGAAGACATCTCCGTGGTCATGTGGCCAGCATGACTAAACACCGAAGGCGCACAGAACGCTGTTCCCTTCCCACCAAAGTGGCCCCTATTTCTCTACTTGCATTTTTTTACTTGCTTTCGAACTGCTAGGTTGGCAGAACCTGGGACAAGTAACGGGAGCTCACTCCATTACGCGGCGCTAGGGATTCGAACCGCCAAACTGCCGACCTTTCTGATCGACAAGCTCAGCGTCTTAGCCACCGAGCCACTGTGTCCCTACAGAGAAGACTTAGGTCCTCTCTAACAGTTGATTTAGGATGCCACTGGTCTGAAGCAACTTAATCACTTCTGAAGCTGCATAGAGATTTGACTTGGGATATGATGGTGGATGATGGAACTGCCTTGCTAAATTGCTTCTTATTAAGGATGTGGCCAGACTCGCCTAGAACAGAAGTGGGTCGGTGTTTGGTGCTGTTGACATTAGCTTAGTGGTTCTGGGTGTCCCAAATACACTTTCAGCTCCACCCAGTCCCTTGTGAACTAACCTTGAGATCACCTATCTCCACCCTGGTGTATCCAGAAGTGTTGGAGTTCAACTCCCATAATTCAAACAGTCAAACAGATCAGGATGGCACTACTGGATGCCACCATGTTGAATATTCATCCTGTGTGTGTGTTTGTATAAAAGGTTGGTCTCTTGTTTGTGAAACTCCTTTAACGTCTTCAGCTCAGGGCTTGTGATCTTGTTCAAGGAGGAAATATTCTAAGAATGTTATAAAGCTTTATATGGGCATGCTAATAAAATAAATATGCTTGTTATATGTGCATGTTAATAAAATACAACCTACTGGCTTGCTTAATCTTCTCCCCTGTTCTCAGTCAGTAGACATATTGGCTGGAAGTGGTGATCTCAATAATAGAGAACTATTTGATTCTTATTTCCACTATTCGAGGTAGTAAAGGTTTCCCTCCCACATACGTGCCAGTCGTTTCTGGCTCTAGGGGGCGGTGCTCATCTCCATTACAAAGCCAAAGAGCTAGCGCTGTCCGAAGACGTCTCTGTGGTCATGTGGCTGGCATGACTAAACACTGAAGGTGCATGGAACACTGTTGCCTTCCCACCAAAAGAGTCCCTATTCTACTTGCATTTTTTACATGCTTTCAAACTGTTAGGTTGGCAGAAGCTGGGCCAAGTAACAGGAACTCACTCCATTACAAGGCGCTAGGGATTCGAACCACCAAACTGCCGATCTTTCTGATCGACAAGCTCAGCGTCTTAGCTACTGAGCCACCACATCCCCTTCAATAGAAGGGTAGAATATTACAATGGCTTCAATCTGAGAGTCTAGCTAAACCATGAATCCAGCTCACTGTTGCTGGATTTTATCTCATTTCTGTTTGGGTTTGATTCGAGCTTAGTGCGTTGCATAAAACCAGCCAACTTAGGCTTATAAGACATGGTTTATGGTTCAACATAATACAGGGAATAAATCAGATCATTTACTTCAGGGGTCCCTAACCACCGGTCCGCGGACCGGTACCGGTCCGTGGAACAAGTCCTACCGGGCCGCTGGCTTGCTGGGCGCCATCTTGTTTTGATGAAAAAGTGCTTCCGGTGAGCTTTTCCGGGTAGAAAGCTCACCGGAAGCACTTTTTCATCAAAACAAGATGGCGGCGCCCAGCTGATGTCGGTACCGGGCCGCGCCATAAAAAAGGTTGGGGATACCGGGCCGCGGCGTAAAAAAGGTTGGGGATCACTGATTTACTTGACACAACCTAATTAGTACAGGGTGAGTTCCTGGATGCTAATACTTCAAATCTCTCTCTCTCCATTGCTTTGATGCCATTTGTTGCACTCCAGCAATCGTCAGTGCAAGAAGCATGGAGGTAATCTTGATGTATTTTACTGGTTTTTCAAACCAAGCAAATCCGGTTCTTGCTTCCCCGAGCAACTTCCTCAGTAAATAAGATTAGTCTTTCCAAATCATCATCATTGGACCGTCCATGGCTTTTGTGAACAGGGAACGGCTGTGCAGATGTGTTCTCTAGGCAGTGCTTGTGTGGGTTATGCGTCAAGAGGGAAGAATCTGCAAAGAGTTTTTTGATCTTCTGCCAACTGTTAAGTCATTATTTCCAAAGGCCATAGAGGGTAGGGATTTTTTTTTAATTTAATCCTTGGAGTGAGTAAACAATAAGCTTAAGATTGTTCCTTAAAGTATTTGCTCATTACCTGGGAAGGAATCTTAACTTTTCTCTAAAGACAAGCAGAGGTGAGGTCCAAGCAAGAAGAATCTTTTTAGCTTTGATTAAACAAAACTTATGTTTTCAGGTACAGCCCATTTTGCAGAGGGAACAGCTAAATAGCATTCTCAGGAGGTTTAATCATGCATCTGAAAGAGAACAATAGCCCAGCTTGGGTTTAAATAGGGTTCAAATGAGGAGAGCCTGTGGTGTGTGCTTCACTTTAAAACTTAATCGTCCAGTCCCTGGAAAAGTTGCTTCCAAGTAGAGCTGACAAAATATTTTACTCTTTTATTCTGCTTCAAAAAATAATAAAGGTTTGCTATCTTCTATATATAGAAAAGCGAAAGACCATTCACGCATCATCACAAAATCTCCAGAACCGTAAAGCCTACAAACTTGGAAATTTGGCACGTCTGTTCCTCTTGGTGTCTAGGTTCTCACTAAGAAAAGATTTTTTGAAATGACCATCAGAGCATTCGTATTTCCTATATTATTATTAACACGCTCTGATGCTAAGGGGTTCTACTCCCCCTCCTCACCTGAAAAGAAATATCTTCCAAATGCAAAACACAAGCAGAGGAGTTTCAGTTTCGGTTTCACAGCAGCAACCAGCTTTAGCACAGAACAGTTGAGCTAAGCCATGCCCAGGCTCCTTGCTGTCTCCTTGCTCACACAGCAAATGCTGTTTCAGTTTTCAAACAGCCCTCAACTCTCTCACACATTGACAGGACGCTAGCCAGATGAATACCGATGGGTGCTGGTAGGCAGAGGCAGAATTTTTCCCCTCCCCAAAAACTAAGCCCAGCCACATAGTTTCGTAGCAAAGCACGGGTATCAAGCTAGTAGCTAATAACAGTATGTGGAGTCCAGGTGAAAAGCAAGAAAGTCTGATTAATGAACGAAGAATAGAGGATGCTTGCTTTGTTCCAGAGCAAATCTCAGCAAATTTAACATGCGTGCAAATTTAAGATGATGCATGGCTGGCTGGCGAGTTTTGGGAGTTGAAGTCCACACATCTCAAATTTGCTGAGATTGAGAAACATCGTTTTTTG